AAAAAATCGGTAATGATTGTTCGTTATCTTTGAATCTACAGGGCCTAGCAAAAAGTGTTGTATGCACAGCTTATAGAAAATTTTATTACCTTTTAAAAGCTTCAAACCGTTTTGGAATTGCTTAATTCGTTCTTGAGATATATATGATTAAGTGGACCCATTTTTTTTTTTTTTTGCAAAAACGGTAAATTGCAAATATCTCAAAAACGGTACCATAAAATTAAAAATAACCTTGATTTTCGGAATCAGGGAGTGATTTTACATACGAATTTCATAACGGCGTCTCTGGTAAATTTTGGCCGTCGACCAGTGTAATTAGTATTTGGAGAAGTCTAAATATTCAAGTAAAAAGAACTTAGGTATTTAGGAGCTGCTAATTACCCAAGTAATAAATACTTAGATATTTAGGAGTTTGCTAAATCCTCAATTGAAAAATACTTAGGTATTTAGGAGCTGCTAAATACCCAAGTAAAAAATATTTAGGTATTTAGGAGCTATTAGATATTAAAGTAGGAAAAACTTGAGTATTTAGGAGCTGCTAGATAGCAAAGTAAAAAAAATTAAAGCATTTAGCAGGCGCTAAATACTCTGGTGCAAAATACTCAGGTACCTTGGGGATGCAAAATACTTTCACTAAAGTACCAAGGTATTTAGTCGATGGCTAAATACTTTTAAACTAAACACTGTATAATTTAGGAGAAATTTTAAGAATTAACACCTCACCTTATGCTCACCTCAACTTACTTTACCACAACTCACTGCACCTCACCACACCTCACTTAAACTCTCCACATCTCAATTTGGGAACTGTTTTGGGATTTTAGAGATTCTCCGAACTAAATCAGGATTCTCAAGACTATTTCGGGGTTTTCGGGACTATTTCGGGATTCTCGAAGCTTTTTCGTAATTCTTTCGGCATTCCCGGAAACTTTGTTTGGGGCTTTCGGGATTTTCGGAACTAATTTCGGGACTTTCGAGACTACTACGGGCCTATTTAGGAATTTTTGGGACTGCTTCGGGATTTTTGGGAATTTTGGGATTATCGAAACTAATGTGCGATTAATGGATTAATCAATTTTTTTATTAATTACAATCCTGCTTAATCAAATAATTTGATTAATCAGATTCTGATTAATCAGATCCTGAGTTTTTACTGTTTACTCAAAAAAAATTATTTGAAATCTGAATAACTTTGTTCATTTCTTTCGGTTTGCTTTCAAACCAAATGAAATGTTTTTATATGTATGTTTGTATGTACAGTTAAGCTCAATTCAGGATTACAGCGGACGACGGTACAGCGGTCGGCGGTAAGTGAACACCTGCATAATTGCCGCAGTGAAATCCCTCAGAGTAAATACAATTGCGTCGCATGGCGGCTTCCGTCAGTTCCCAACAAGCATTTCAGTAAACGTTTTTAAAAATAACTTAAATTAAGTTTGCTATAATAAGCGTTAAATAAGCATTTTTAATATTAAGCTTATTAAAAGTTTTTTCAAACAAACCTTTAATAAGTTTTGAGAGCGAATGTTTATAAATAACTTAAACTTATAAATGAAATGTAAATGCCAACGACATGAAGTAGTAAATATAAAATTTTTTCAATCGTAAGTGACGTGTTTACGTTTTTTAAAATATATTATTAAAAGAAAAAATTAAATAAAACCAATGCGGTAAAACAAGAAAATCCAATCCAGGACCCGCTGCGCTAATCGGTGGAGCATTCGAGTCTTCAAATGATGAGTTCCCCTTATCCTTTCTTAGTTTAACATTCAATTAAAAATGTATTAAATTTTTTTCAGAAAAGTTCATCAATGAGAATGGCGGCGATGAAGCGGAATATATAGCTGCATCGATGTCGCTTTTCCAATTTGCCAATAACCGCAAGTAATTGAAAGCACGCAACAAGATGTAATAATTAACTTTTTTATGCTTAATTTGTATGTGTTATTGTGAATTTGTATGCTAAAATGTCTATTCCCTATTTATATTTTCGCGACTGTAGATGAGTCCGCCGAAAATTCGCATTTCGTTTAGTTTCTAGATGTTAAGCAATCTATGTATGAGGTTTTAATGAAATATCTTTAAATAAAGGGTTATAAAAATGTTTATAAAAAGCTTTCTTTTGAAAATTGTTAGTAAGTTTATATTGATACGCGTATATAAAACTTTTTTTGAACCTTTATTATAAGTTTACACTTTTACGCTTATAAAAAGCTTTCTTTTGAACATTTATTACAAGTTTATATTTCTACGCTTATAACCAATGTTCCTTTTCGATTATATTACGCTTACTTTCAAGCGTTTTATAAACAAAAAATCAACGTTTTGTAAGCTTAATGTTTATAATTGAAAACTTAAAAAAAACTTTCTTTAAGTTTATTTTGCTTGTTGGGTTGTCATTTTGATTTGAAAATTATCATTAAAATTAAATATTTTTTCGGTACGTGCGTATATGTAGATTTGCTGGAAATAAAAATATGTAGATAAAAACATTGCAAAACTTGTGGAAATAATAAAAAATACTACAATCAATACTCAATGAACTTGGTCCCTTCCGTCCCCGCTGGGCGGTAAAAATAGAAATAAATTTATATCCACCGAAAAACGTCGGCGGTTAAAACGGTGCCGCCGCAATTTTGAGCCATTCCATATGCGTTTGTGAGTTGTAATTTTGACAGCGGTTAACCGACGACCGCTTTGCCGTCGTCCGTTGCAATTCTGAGTAGAGCTACATATATGTATGTTCGTATGAACATTCAATATTTTTCTTATTAATAAAAATAAAATGCCAAACAAGTACGCACTGTGTAGCATGATAAAAACATTACAAGGTAAATTCATTCTCTCATTTCGTCGGCCATGATTTTTTTCTGACGTTTGCCAACATTTTAAAATCATATAAAATTGAAAATAAAAAAATTAAATTGTTCACAATTGTTGTTGTTTGAGATTGAAAATGAGAATGTGTGTGTGTTTGAGTTTTGATTTTAAAATTATATTGTTGGCAAAGGTCAGGTTAATAATTTTTAATAATCTGCCTTATCCTGAGTTTTGCCCGAAAAAAAATCATCCGAAAATTTGTATTCCGCCCATAGTAAATATGTACATGAAAACCAAAAGTGAAAAGTGAACCGGTTCGGGGAAAAGTAAACTCATGATAAGACTGAATGTTATTTTAGTACTTGAATTTAAAAATTTGAACATTGTACTTAATAAAATTTTTTGAAGG